CAAAAAACAATTTCCAATCAATTGCGTGCACTTGGCAAAGTCCAAAAGTTTGGAAAATGGGTTCCTCATGAGTTGACCGACAACAACCATAATCAAAGAGTCACAATTTGCAGTTCGCTCCTCTCTCGTCAAAACCGTTTGCCGTTTTTAGAGCAAATTGTTACCGGAAATGAAGAATGGGTGCTGTATGTTAATTTGAAAAGGCGGCCTCAATGGTTGGACAAAAATGAGGCTCCGCAGCCCACGCCAAAACCTGACTTGCATGCGAAAAAAGTGATGTTGTGTGTTTGGTGGAATTTTAAAGGAATTCTTCATTATGAACTTTTACCATGTACCCAAACCATTACAAGTGCAGTGTATAGTGCCCAATTGGAAAGGTTAGCCCAAGCTTTAAGAGAAAAAGAACCTGCGCTGATTAATCGGAAGGGCGTAATTCTTCACCACGATAACGCACCACCGCATACTGCAAGAATTACTGCTGAAAAACTGCGCCAGTTGAAATGGGAAGTTCTCCCTCAACCTGCATATTCTCCTGATATTGCCCCTTCCGATTACCATTTATTTCGTTCTTTGCAAAACTTTCTTCTTGGAAAAAAATTTAATAATGAAGAATGCCTCAAAAATGCATTGACCGAATTTTTTGCATCAAAATCACAAGAATTTTACAACAGAAGGATTAAAATGCTTCCTGAGCGTTGGGAACAAGTAAAATGCCCCAAATTTCTCAAGCGTACACAAATAGGTTTTGTATATGACATAATTTCTTTTTTTTTACAACAAAAATATAAAGTTTCAAACTTTTATTTGTGAAATATTTTCTTAATCATGAATTTGTTATGAAAAAAATTTACTTTTCTACTGAAAATTTCGTATCTGAAAAGATAGGTTAAGTACCACCACCCCAACATCTAGCTCAGTTAGCAGCCACTGACTTATCACAATAGTCTTATCACAAACTTTCTATTTTGTAAAATGATATGGTTCATTCATCTTTTTGTAAAAGAAAATTTCACTTATCTGTTATGCTCTTCAGCTCTTTTACAGAGTGATTCAAAAGATTTTTATTATTTTATTTTTTAAAAATATATTTTATTGATTTTTTACAGAGAGGAAGAGAGAGGGATAGAGAGCTAGAAACGTCCATGAGAGAGAAACATTGCCAGCTGCCCCTTGCACACCCTCTACTGGGGATGTGCCCGCAACCAAGGTACATGCCCTTGACCGGAATCGAACCTGGGACCTTTCAGTCCGCAGACCGACACTCTACCCTAGAGCCAAACCGGTTTCGGCTCAAAAGATTTTTAGATTCGCGTTAATTTGTTACCAAAGATTCTACTATTTGGGTAGTTGATAAATCCATTCACAAGGCCACATAAAGTGTGGCACCTGAAAATATACAGAAGACAAATGAACAGCCAGGCTGCTCCTCTCACTTCTTAAACCACTGATGGCGTCTGGCCATGTGGCAAAAGTCCCGGCGAGCATGGCATGTCAATGTAGTTTAAGTGTTTGCACTAAAGCCCAATCTCTTGTGCTTAAGGATAAAATAGATAGAAGTGTTGATGCTTCATTCTCATGCCCCCTCCACAACCCATTAGCGCCTTTCGGATCAGGAGGATGAAGGGAGCATCATTCCTTTGGGAGGCCCAGAGTGTAAAAGGGCAGAATCAGTCAGTCCACTTGGAACTGACTTCTCAACAGTTCTTCTCCAGATTTTTTGCCTCTTTTAACATTATCCACTCCCCCACCCCCCATCTCCCCAGGCAATCACTAAAAAGCCTTACTGATTCCAAAATCCCTCAGCAACTCCTGAAAAAGTTGTCAAGGCTGAAGATCAATTTTTAGGAGAATTCTCATCATCTTACTACAAATTTCTAGTGGTGGATTCACCCAGATCAAAGCCTTCATTTACTTACCCTGATGTCAATCTTGTGAGGTATTCACATTATATCTGGACACTTCTTTGCTACTATTTCCTTTTCCTAATACCTTCCTCCTGTTTCCCCACCTAGCATCATTACAGTTCCATGCTCCCACGTCTGCCAGCCCTTCATGGCTGCAATAACTCCTGCTACAGCCAAGAGTTGTAATCCTCCTGCCAAGCTGGTTTCCAGCTGAGCCCAGGAATGAAATTAAGTGGGTGCCCAAATGGCTTACCTGGCACTTTCCTAACCAATCAAATCAGTGCTAACCTGGGAGCATAAAGTCCTGAAAAGATTGGTAAACCAAAAATATATTAAGTCCTCCCCCAAATTAACTTCGCCTGCTATGAAAAAGAAACAACAGGCCCAAAATGGAGTCAGAGTTGCTAAGCCGAACTAAGACTTCATACCTATCGTAACTGCAGTTTCAGCCATCCCAGGAATGGAATTCTAAACCAATCCGTCTGGAATTTCCAGGTCAGCACTAATGAAGTAATCTGCCTCAAAAGACCTTGCCTAAAATAATCCACTGCCGGACCCTCCTCCTCCTTGTTTACAGCTCCTGGGGCACCTTTCCATTTACCAGATGGAATGCTGCCTGCTGCATGCATTGTTAATAACAACAATTCGATATTGAACGTTACTGGGCTGGATTTATATTTAACAATATCAAAATACAAACCTATATGGAGTCAAAAGGCCAACACCAAACTACAAACAAATATGCCAACAAATTTTCAATGAATATTCCAAGGAGTTACTGTTTTTAATCAGCAGTAAAAACAACATTTAAAAAGAGATATATCTTATTTATAAAATGATCAAGTGTTTTGATTTCGCTTTTCTGACAACCCTTGGTTCTCACCATGCCCACAGCTACCCTCTCAGGGCTTCTTCACGCTGAGATCACCAGGTCTGATTCCCCAGCAACCCCCATCTTGCGGACATGCCATCGAACATGAGACAAACTGCCACAGGCGGAGCTCTGCAGTTCTGCTCCGGAGCACGCTCCCTGCCGCCCCTGCCGCCAGCTTCGGCCAGCGTTTGTTTTCTCCTGGGCTCTGTAAGAAGGGACCACTCCTCCAGGGTTCCCTGTAATCTCTTATAAACCCCAAGAACTCTGGCTGTCTCCCCTTTTCTGTAAAGCTGTCATAATTTACTCCAACCCTGGGGTTTCTCCCCAGTGACTCGCCAAGTAATGAGAGCAAATGCCCTCGTTAAACAACTACCTTTCCATCCTCTCTTTTTCTTGAGACCTTGAGTAGGCTCTTTCCCCCTAACAGTTTTTACAGCCAAGCACAACAGCCAAAAGATGGAAAAACAAACACACAACATCACATCTGGGTGAGCTTAAGAAATCAAATTCTGCTAGGCACATTCTACAACCTGTGTTTCACAAATGCAAAGATTATAGAACTTAGTTATCTCAGAATTATTTCTCAACCACTTTTGTGGGCACAAATAGGAAAACAACCCACAAAAGGCCTTCATCATTGTTGTGAATTAGTTTCGACATAGAAAAAGAAACTATTCAATTTTGAAGTGAAATTTTAACTAGTACCACCAACTTTTGGTCTAATCAATGTAAATCCCCAATTATAAAGTTATACATAAGAAAAGATATGTATTTTAACAGGGAGGCAGCATGACAGAATCAAATAACAAGCTGAGGGAAGAAAGAAGGATCTCAGGAACAAAAGCAATCCCTTTGTTTTTTTAAATGAAGGGTAGGCATTACTACAACTTGGGTGGGTGTAGGTGGCAAAAGCATCCGTGCCCTTGAATGGAGGAGCTTTTTCTCTTCCACGCTCTCTGGGTATTTCTGTTTGACTTAAAAATTTAAATGTCTTGGGAATAGGTTTTGTTTTTGTGTGTGTGTTTTTTGTTTATTTGTTTATTTACACAAAAACAAAACCTATTCCCAAGACATTTAAATTACAATAAAAGGGTATATAAAACCGGGCAAAAGTAATTCTTTGTGTTAGACATCAGCATAGTGAATGGGGGGGTAGGGGGAGAGGGTCAGGTGAGAGGCGCAGAGATACCCAGAAAAACTGACTCAAAAAAAAAAACAAGCCCACAAATATCTCCCATGATATTTACAAACCAATGAAATTCATAATTCCTGTGTAAATATACACACTTCCACTGGCCCAATAGATAACCACTCAATGCCATGTGTAAGCTAGGGGGTATGTTACCCATTTCCTACAGCACTGACACACCACGTCCTCCTGCTAGACCTTCTGATGAGGATGAAGATAATCTTAGAATCACACCTTAGTAAGAAAAAACTTGTATTCAAACTATAAAGCACTCTTACATCATTTGGTGTATTTTGATTTTTTAAAAAAAATTTTTTTATTGATTTCAGAAAGGGAGAGGGAAAGAGAGATAGAAACACCAATGATGAGAAAGAATCATTGACTGGCTGCCTCCTGCATGCCACACACGGAGATTGAGCCCACAACCTGACCAGGAATCGGACCGTGACCTCTTGGTTCATAGGTCAACACTCAACTGGTGAGCCACACTGGCTGAGCTGGAGGACATTATTTTCTAACCTTAAGCGCCATAACAGATAAAGGTTTTCATAATAGCTGGTCAATTTTTTAAACAGACTTTTTAAAAGCGGCTTTAGACGCACAGCAAAATGAGCATAAAGGACAGAGTCTTCCCCACGCCCCTGTCCCTGCATGTGGACAGCCTCCTCAACTGATCAATTTTAAAAATCAAAACAGCTGGGACCGGTTTGGCTCAATGGATAGAACGTCAGCTTGGGGACTGAAGGGTCCCGGGTTCGATTCCGGTCAAGGGCATGTACCTTGGTTGCGGGCATATCCCCAGTGGGGGGTGTGCAAGAGGCAGCTGGTCGATGTTTCTAACTCTCTATCTCTCTCCCTTCCTCTCTGTATAAAAATCAATAAAATATATTTTTAAAAAAAATCAAAACATATTTCTCTGGGGGGAAAATCAAAATATCTTAGAAAAATAATTTCGCACTTCCAACAGCAAACGTGAGGCACCACTGCTGTATGCATTTTCACTGACACAGGAGGAAAGGAGGTAGACACTTACCATGTAGCATCCAATAAGGAAAGCAGCATTTGCTTGTTTTCTCTGATCAGGGCCAGTAAAATGAACAATTTTCTTCCTTAACATTGGGATGGACTGCATAAAGATACACAACTGTTAGTGTATTGTTTCATAATTTCAGGTTTTCTAAAACTTTATTTTGTGATGAAGATAAATTCCAAATCTCAGCATTCATATTAGCAAGATCTTTAAAAATACTAATTTTGATGTCCCAAAGTACCGTGTACCTTCCCATTATTGGGTCAGAAGAAACGTATAATTAAAGAAAAGGGAAGGAGACAGGAAAAGATAGAAAGTACAGACTACCTCTGACAGAATAAATAAGAAGCGAGGGGGAGGACGAGGTCAACTGTTTGACTTAAAAAACAAACAAACAAACAAACAAAAAACACACACACAAAAACAAAACCTATTCCCAAGACATTTAAATTACAATAAAAGGGTATATAAAACCGGGCAAAAGTAATTCTTTGTGTTAGACATCAGCATAGTGAATGGGGGGGTAGGGAGGAGGGTCAGGTGAGAGGCGCAGAGATACCCAGAGAGCGTAAGTGGGCTCCTGAGTGGTGCTGCTAGTGCCCTATCCCTTACCTGATGAATAAGAAATAAGAGGACAGCCCATGTATATTCAGTTTGTGACAACTGATTGAACTGTACCCTCATGATCTGTACATATTTCTGTACATACACTGCACTTCGATAAAAAGTTAAAGATGAAAAGGGTATCAAAGTTAAAACCCAGAGGAACACATGCTGAGTTAGCACTTTCGCACCTTAACTTCAATAACGTGGGTGGGTATGGATTCTGGGTGGGCATGGATTCGGTGAGGGAGAGGCTAGGACACATTCACTTCAATGAGCTCACGTCCAAGGCCTCGGTGAGTCAGTGATGGATGCGAGCACATGTTCCTTTAGTTGATTACATGGAGTGAGAGAGCCAGGTTGATTTTAAAAACTGAAACAAATCCAACCAGCCATAGAGCAACACAAGCACAAGGGTCTCTTCATTCAATCTCTCGACACAGTTTTATCACTACTAATTGAATAGGCAGTAATGTTTTGACCAGTTTGGATGCTCGAGACTGCAAGTTGTGCTAGCGAATGATAAAACGTTAAAAAGAGGGGAGATGGGGAACCAATACATTCTTAGTTGACCCAAAGGATACAAGTTCATAGATGGCTGAGTGTGGAAAAAAAAATTCTTTCAAAATTAGACCAAAGGAACACAAGTGGGGGGAGAGGAATTATTGTTAGCTTCATGGCCCTGCATGAAACAAAAAGCCTGCCACTGACAACTGGAAAAGGGAGGGGAGACATGAACACATAAGACCATAAGTGCTTATATTCTAATTTAGAGGAAAAAGTGCAGAAAGAGTCTCCATTTCTATACAAATTCATAGTGAACACACATATAATAATAATAATTTAAAAATAATAATTTAATAATAATAATTTAAAAACAACTTCCACTTTACAGATTAGGTGCTTCTAATATTTATGATGTGAAAGTTCTGGTTTGACACTCAAACAAAAAACACCTGCCTTACCCATAAATTTTAATATAATTTCATTTTAATTGAAAATAATGTTATTTCTTCTTTGTAGTAGACTGTTAAGTATTTGACTGAATAAAGTTGTTTTAAAAAGGACCTGTCCCAAATCCAGTATTTTTGACTTGAGAATTTATAATGACTCATTAGGAATTGCCAGCAGTATATACACTTCCCATTGTGTATGACCAATCATTCAAAGTGTTTTAAATAAATGGATGGGGTCTGAAGCTTAGAAATACACTGTTGCAGCTCTCAGTGACAGCCTCAAAGATAGCTGCTTGCCCTTGTTTCCCCTGCTCCTGAATCCCAAGTGTAAAGGTCAAGGTGAAATTAGTACAACATCAGGGGAGAGTCAAGGTAAAATGAGAGACAGTAAGAGGGGCAGGGACTTCTTTGTTTGCCAGTACTCCTTCCTATTAAAGCAAGAGATGTTTCTCTTGTTAGGTTTCTTTCAGTTCCATTAGGTCAGACAGTAAGAGATTTACCGTATTTTTCAGACCATAAGACACACTTTTTCCCCCCCAGAAGTGGGGGGAAAAAGTCCCTGCGTCTTATGGTCCAAATATACCCTACACATATACTTTTAAAAAAAAGTTTTTTTACTCGCCCGGCTCTGTGTGGTCTCTGTGTGCTTGCCCGGCTCTAAAATGGTTCTAAATGCTGCTGTTTACTTTACAGGGTTGATTACATGTGTTTATGACTGTGATGTTGGGTTTTAATGCACATAAAATATTTTAGGACACTATTTGTTTCAGAATCTTTTTTTCTTCATTTCCCTTCTCTAAAAACTGGTGCGTCTTATGGTCCGGAGCGTCTTATGGTCCGAAAAATACGGTACTTTATTAAACAGTTTCCACTTTGGACTTCAAATATTTAAGAATCACTAATCCAAGCCAGAATCAAATGGTCCAAACTCAAACTGCTCAATCAAAACTCTGGACAACTAACATATACACTATGCCTTTATAAAATAAGAAAACCATGAATATGCCCCAAACACCACTGCAGTAAAAACATGACATTTCCTTTTTAAAACAGATGTGCTTTCCTTACTTTCCCCTCCCCAAGACCAGGCTAACAATGATTAAGTCAAATCTTACATAAAAGAGACTTTACCTTTAATTTCTTATTTATCTTGCAACAATATCTGTAAAGCATTGCCAGATTGAGTGGTCCAAAATCTGCGTAGAAGCTTTAAAAGTAAAACACAAAAACGTATAGTATATTCTAGATGCCCTGAATATTAATGCCTTTTTGGAGCTAAAGATCAAATTCAGACAAGAAAGCATACACCAAATTGTTATCAGTCACACTACCTTAAGTTGAAGAGATATTTTGGTAAATAATGCCTATTAAAAAATGGTTCAACACCTACATCTCACCTCAAATAACATGGAAATACTTTCTGAATAAAGAAAGCTGTTTTTCCACTGGTAAAGACACATCTTAATACATTAGTTTATACTTCATTGTACTGTAAACTATTAGAATTTTAAATATAAGTTATTACATTTAGAAAGATTCTTCCATTTTGAGTTTTTCCCTAAGGATCTACTTTATTACTAAGGGTTAAAGGGAAATTAAAGGAAAAACATCCTTTTTATCAGTCAACAGATTTGTAATTTTCCAAGGTTATCCTGTTTATAAACATACCTTTAGATTCTTCAAAAACAAAAACAAAAAGTTACTAACAATCTTTTAAAAACCAATACTTACTTCTCATATTCAAGTTCATTATCTATGGTGAAATAATGTACATTTGATGAACTCTTTGGTCTGCTGCAGAGAATGGCAAAACAAAGGCGATCTGAAATGGAAAAATTGCAGTGTTCCTTCCTTCAGATTATTTTAAAAATTTTCATATATCATGATACAACTCTTTTCAGATGAAGTCAAATTTTTATTTTTTCCATACAGGTTTCTGATGGTAAGAATGCTAACAGATACTTTTGATGAGTGAAAATAAATAAGACCTTTTTAAAGGAGAAATAGCCCTAAACCATAAATTTCAATAGTGACAAGTGACTTTTCATGTAGCAGTATGGCTTGATTTCTGGAGTAAACTCTCATGGAAAGCTTTACTTCCTCTGGACTGAGAAATCTGAACAAATGGCAGTGTGCACTTGATGGCTAGCCAGCAACCAGATGGCTTTCGCTATGCATCACTATGTTTTCACAACATCCTAAAGAGTGCTTCAATATGAAACCATATTTTAGGTAAAGAACGCTTTCAAAACTGCTTCAAGATTTAACGTTTAAAGCTACATAACATCAACAACAAAATGAATCAGATGTTTATCCAACTGTTCTTAGGGATCACTACTACTTTTGTAGTGACTTTTACAATTAGACAAATTGCCATTGCAACCTAAGCAATGAGAGGTATCTGCATGATGAGTGTGCGATGAACTTGTGTTGCATAAATGCAGTTAGGCAGCCATGAGGCGAGGGTTTAGAAAGAATGATAACTGGTGCTAATAATGTTCTGAGGCTCCAACCTTCCTCCCCCGCTTTAACCTAGAAAAAGTTGCTTAAAAATCCTGACAAAAAAGTCACCTGCAATACCCAGTTGTAACAACACTTGCAGTGCTAGTATTGATAGATATACTTACACTTAAATTGTAGCAAAATCAAGTTCAGCCTTTAAAGTAATAAGAAACAAAGGACGCCAGCTGGCATCCTTTGCCCAAATGGTAATTGTCAGCAATTCAACTCACGCAACTGCTGTATTTATTTCCTTGTAAACTGCTCAGCAAAAATGTCTTGCAACCACAAACACTCAAAAGGATGACGGGCTTTCTCTTTGCCAACCACAAATGACCCTTTATCCCCGTGCAGAGACCACAGACTTTGTTCTCTCGGGTGGAGACGCAGTTCACCTTCAGCCGGGGGGCTTCCCGTGGCACAGGTCTGTTCACATTCACCCCAAATCAAGAGCGCGAGAGGGGCTAGGAGTCCGGAAAGGCCACCCACGCCCATGAGACAGCATTGGCCCCGGCCGGAAAGTTAAAGGCTCCTCCTGGCCAGAAACCGGGGCTGCCTCCATCTCCGGCCAGCCTTATGCCATCTCAATATGGGTGTCCCCGAGGTGCCGGGACCGGCTAGCCCCCTCCCTTCCGCACTCACCTTTGATCACCTCGGCCACCAGACGGGTCCCTGAGCCCTCCAGGCTCATGACTCCAGAGCATCTGGAAGGCGGGGTGGAGGGAGGGAAGGGCCGGATGGCCAGAGAGCCACCAGTGGCAGAGAGAGGAGGAGCAGCGGCCACACCCCCGAAGTTTAAAAAACAAAGTTTAAAGGTCCGTGCCCAAGCAGGGAAATGACTCCACAGCATACCGGGGGCCACCGAATCCACTCCACAGCATACCGGGCGTCACCCCGGAAGTTCAAAGCTTCTCAAAGGGCCGCAGTGGGGCGCGGCACCACAGCCAGGGCGCGGGCTGAGCTTCGGCCACCTCGGCAGCGGCCGCCAGCGCCAGACTCCGCCGCAGGAGGGCCGTGCAGGCGCCCTGGGCCAGGAAGCAGCTCCGAAAGCTCGTGAAAGGGTTTTTTGGGAGTGAAGGGCGAGGCGGTGAACCTGACCACAGCCCCGGCTCCGGGCGCCTCCCTCCGCCGCCCTGGCCGCTGCCAGCAGAGGGCGCAGCACCCAGACCGGCGGGAGGCGCGGCCCAGGGGAAAGCCCTAACTCCTCCACCGCCCCCCCTTCCCTCCCCCCCCCTCCCGCCCCCAACCTCGGCGCCCAGCACAGGGGCTCCTGGCGCTCAGCCTCCCAACCTTTGCTCCCCGCCTGCTCCCAGCACCCAGCTAGCAGACCTGGGCCGCCCAGAGCCGTGTCCTCTCTCATGTGTCGGGCTGCATCTTCAAAATAGTTCAAAATTTTAAAGGTAAGCCTACTACTGTGGCCAATCATTCCTTAAAAAAAAAAAAAAATTCTGACACATGCTAAGCAACCATTTAAAAAAATTTTAAACCTGTTTCTTATAGTCTCAAGTGAAAAAGAATTAAGATACAGTATGAGTATAGCCCCAATTTCGTTCTAAATAAAAATTGTTTCTTTAATAATCCGTGAAAAATTTTGCAAAGACCTCCCTTAACACAGACAACACAGACAATACAGCAACAACTCTTTCCCAAGGATTACACCGTATTTACATTCCCAATGCAATATCTACATTACATATCACATACATGTGTTTGCCTCAGAAGTAAACCTCCCTAACTTGATTCTAAAACTCCAGATAAATCTGAGACTTTAACGTAACAACAAAGCTATAAATTCTGTCTTTGTGGGGTCCAACTGGAGAAGGCCTTTCAAAATAAAACCTAAAAGCTACTGGAGCAATGGACTGCTAAATTGATTCCCACTTTTAAAAAGGTTTTGTGGCAACAAAGTAAAGAAATAAACTGGGAAAATATTTTAACTTCATCTCACAAAGATGCCAACCTTCTTTCAACTTTGATCTTAAAAAAATAATGAAATGCAAATTTAAACTACAAGGTCCTAGTTTTCCTTCAGACAGGTGAAAAAATCAAAGGAGTTTGGAAAGGCACTGTGGTGGTGAGTTTGTGGGGAAGCTAACACTGCTGGTGGGTAGGAATATAAGCTGGGACAACCTCCATTCATGGCAATTCAAGGCAACACACACTCTGCCATCCCAAAATAAACCTTAGGGATATTGATTTTTTAAGCTGATTATCGATATTAAGAAACAAAAGTCTCAAAAAGAACCTCTGAGCCGAATTCAGATAGAAACACCTTAAGGAATTCAGATAGAAACACCTGCTTAAAGGAAGGGCATTTAGAAATGAAATGTGGAGACAGCCTGCTCGTTGGCCTTCCCTCGGGGTCCCTTGTTTCTGGGGTGCCAGCAAGAATCTGTTTATGGCCCGCTTGCTCTCTCCACTGGTAAGTTGTCAGCTTCCCCTTTGAAGTCCCAGACCTTTTCCTCCTCCTCCTTTGTCCAGAATGGCATATACATCTCAACTGCCCAGTGTCTCTTTGGGTATCATATTCTTATGGCATCCCAGCACGTGTATCCAAAATGATTTTAGATGTTTCCTGCTGTTCTGTCTCTTGTTGCTTTGGCTACTTAGCCCAGCCAGAAGGACTTAGGAAAGTTGCTTTTGGTGCCCTACAGAGCCTTTCATAAAGGAATGGTCAGAATACCTAAAACTGCAGGAGCCAAGCTTATAGGACAGATGGTTATGCTATATGCCTGCTTGTGAAAAATATTTAATAAATGACTGTTGTGTGAAAAACAATATTTTATCTGAGATTGGACAAACCCCACTTGCCTGGAGTTTTCCTGCAGGAAACTTGTTATCAAGAAGTCCTAGAAGCTGTGCAAGACCAAATTGGCTCAGGGCTGTGTCCACCAGGACGATACAGAGACCTGGGATCTTTAACATGTCCTAGAACTATCTGAATCATAGTCATGGCAAACATGAGCCAGAAAGAGAAGTAAAGCAGTCAGCTTCAGCAGACAGATCTTTTGTCCCAGGATCCTAGGTCAAGAACTTGGATGAATTCTCATGTATCTACCAAAGTAATGAGCATTTCAAAGGGGAGGAAAGATAAGAACATGATCTGTCTCATTTCAGATTTCTTGGCAGTGAATAAGACTTTATTTGATGAGTAGATTTAATATACTTAACCGTCTTATCAGAAGCAACTTCTTACAATGCTTGTTCTTAACCTCTAATGGTATTTCAAGGCCCTCTGAAAAGTATTTAATCACAATTCAATTGTCATGCCAATTTGGCTATATATATATATATATATATATATATATATATATATATATACACACACACATACACACACACACATATATATACACACACACACAGACACACACACACACACACACACACACACACACACACACACATATATATATATATTTTTTTTTTAATTTTTTTTTTAAGAAAATGGTGTAGAGAAGAGAGGAGTAAGGGTACATATTAAATTATTTTACATGTTAACCAGGGCAAAAGATTCGAAGACACTTTATGAATGAGTTTATAGGAATGGCCTATAAGCTCATGAAAAAGGCATTCAAATTGCAGCAGCTTTGAAACTCCAGAAACTGGAAACACCACAAATTTCCATCAACAGGAGAAGGGACAAACAGATTTTACTATATTCAAACAATGGAACACTACTCAACAAAAACAAAACAATGACATGTTGATATACAAATAAAATGCATGCATCACTAAAACACTTTGCTGAGCAAAAGAAGACACAAGAGAGCTCATGCTGAATGACTCTCAAAATGTCAAGTTCAAGGACAAGTAAAGTTAATTTATACTGATAGAAATCAACAGTGGCTATTTAGGATAAGAGGAGGTCAGGGTTTGATTCCACCCAGGGCACATGCCCAGGTTACAGACTCCATCCCCAGAGTGGGGTATGCATGCAGGAAGCAGCCAATCAATGATTCTCTCTCATCATTGATATTTTATCTCCCTTCTTCCCTGAAATCAATCTATATATCTATAATAATAAAAGCCTAAGTGACCATCACAACCAGACGACCAAACAGGCTGCGAAGGGCAACCGGGCCAGCAGGGGGCTTAGTGAGGGGCAACCAAGCAGCAGGCTGTATGGGGCGACCAGGCCCGCAGGAGGGGCAGTTGGGGGCAACCAGGTTGGCGGGGGGGGCAGCAGTGAGGGGGGACCAGGCTAGTGGGGTAGGGGGAGCAGTTGGGGGAGACCCAGCCAGCAGAGCGGGAGTAATGAGTGACCAGGCCAGTGTGGGGGCAGTTGGGGTGACCAGGCCAGCAAGAGTGGTTGTTGGGGGTGACCAGGCCAGCGGGTGTGTGTGTGTGTGTGTGTGTGTGTGTGTGTGAGGCAGTTAGAGGCAATCAGACAGACAGGAAGGTGAGCAGTTAGGAGCCAGAGGTCCCAGATTATAAGAGGGATGTCCCAATTGGAGAGGATGCAGGCTGGACTGAGGGGACCCCCCCCACCCACCACGCACAATTTCCATGCACCCAAGAGAGGGAAAGACAGAGAGAAATAAATTTGAGAGAAACACATCAATTGGTTGCCTTCTGCACACAAGCCTGGCCTGGGAGGAGCCTGCAACCGAGGTACCTGCCCTTGACCAGAATTGAACCTGAGACCATTTGGTCCACGGGCCTCTAGTATATATATATAAAAGCCCAAGCGAAGGTTAGGACCGAACGATTGGAACAACTGGTTGACTAGTTGCTATGATGCACACTGACCACCAGGGAGCAGATGCAGGAGCTGCCCCCTAGTGGTCAGTGTGCTCCCACAGCCAACCTCCCGCGGCCCCTCACCCCTACTGGTCACCACCCCCCTCCATAAGCGTTGATCACTGGCCAGGCCAAGGGACCTCACCTGTGTACAAATTCATGCACTAGGCCTCTAGTAAAAATATATTTTAAAAAAGAGTATACACTAGTTAAAATTCACACTATATGTACATATAAACCTATGCATTTTATTGTGTACGAGTTATACTTCTTAAAGGGTGGGGGCAAGAAAGAATTTTAATGGAGAAGGTGAAGGGACTAGAGAATAACTGCTATTTCAAAAATTCCTGAAATAATCTTTTTTATAATCCTCGCCCAAGAATATTTTTTAATTGATTTTTAGAGAGCGGGGAAAGACAGAGAAATATCGATGTGAGAGAAACACATCAATTGGTTGCCTCCTGCACAAAAACCTGGCCAGGGAGGAACCTGCAACCGAGGTACCTGCCCTTAACCAGAATTGAACCTGAGATCATTTGGTCCACAGGCTGACACTATCCATTCAGCCAAACCAGCTAGGACTATTTTTATCTTTTAATGGAAAGATTATCTGCCATTCTTCACATTCAATTAACATGATTTTAAAAGTATTCTGGATTGAGAGTTCTAAGAGAAAGTGTTAATTATACCATGGCTCCAACTGATACTTGCAGGAGGCAGCTAATCAGTGATACTCTCTGATCATTGATGATTCTATCTCTCCGTCTCTCTCTCTCTTCATCTCTGAAATCAATAAAAATATATTTTTAAAAACATAAAAATAAAAGCTCTCTCTGCTGTATGCCTGAAACTAATACAAAATAATATTGAATATGAAAAAAAGCTTTCTGCCAGCACCCAGACTTGATCTTTTGGTGTTGCCCCTTGAGGTTCATGTACTCCTCCAGGACCTATGAGTAATAAATGCATCTATTTATTTTAGAAATCTGAAAAGGAGCTAGTACTACCAGATATTAAAATGTAGCAAAAGACTTTTACTAATAGAGAATGTTCCTGGCACCTGATAGACATATACAATAGAACAGGAGTTATGAAATAGACCCACACACACAGTGAAATGTAATACACAATAAAATGATAAATCAAGACAGATGTTGAGTAAATAAATATTAGGTAGCCATCTGAAAAAAACAAAAGTGGCTCTATGACCTCACAGCAGAATAACTTTCTAATAAAATATTTAAATCTAAGAGGATAAAAATGTAAAATACATAACAAAACACAGATAGAGTATCAGGGACCAGATTACCATACTTTCTTTAAAAAAAAAAAAGCCTTCTTGCCCTAGCCAGTTTGGCTCAGTTGATAGAGTGTCAGCCTTCGGA